GGCAGGTACCAATGTATTACCAATTGGGGTACCACCATGTACCACAGAATTTTCACTACCACTATGTGCTAATTCACAAAAATAATTAAAGGGTTACAATTAATTTATAAATAATAACATCAAAGTAAACGTTTTTCTAAATCATTTACACCTAAAACCAGACTAATTTGATCACTTTTTGCTCCAGAAAATGATCAAAAATTAACATCTGTTTTATTAAAGTTGAAAGAGATTTGACGGACATAAATCGAATTTGTTTTTTTAGAAGATCCAAAAATCACTTCTGATGTATGTTAAATTATCGACGTATCACTGGAATTCATCCCGTTAAATGTTGCCATTCCCATTCAGGTACAAGTCCTATGTTTCCCACCGTATCAACCATCCGGTTCGAGCTTTCGGGGCTTGAGCAGTCGGAAGGGCTTGCGGTCTTGTACGTCTGTACGGTATTTTGCGAAGACGGTGCACCCTGACTAGCTTTGTAGGTGATCATCGGTGTCGGTTCTAGCCCTAGTGGTCGTCTATCGAATGCCCGTGTGCATCCCGATACCACATACACTCTGCATAGACTCAACTCATGTCTTAACAGCAAAATTACATTTCTCCAATTAAAAAAAACAGTTCAAACCAAACGAATCCAGTAAAACTCAGGTAAAATAACCGACTTTCCAATATATATACCTTTGGAACAGGGGAAGTGTTGGTATTGTCTATGTCTTTTTTGATAGCTCGATACTCGTTCATCTTCCACTCGGTTCTTTTCACCGTTTGTGACTTCCCTTCGTAGAACACCATTGTTTTCTTCACTCCAATGACTTTGTTATCGGACGAGTAGACGTACGCCGGTGAACCCGTGGCCTTCCAGTATCYAGAAGCGGTGGTCCGGCTCGGCCTTCCACCTTGTGCTTCCCTTTCTTGCCTCGGCACAAAAAAGAACCACTGTTCGGTGTCCCGGCGACACAATTCCCCGGCTAACTCTACACATAGAAAGCATAAGTAAGACCCCATGATTCCACGAATGTGAAGAAATATATACATACAGATATATGTATGTGTATATATATATATACTTACTTGGAAGGTGGCAAGGACTGTGATCGTTGACAGGGACGACGGGGATGACGCGATGGAGGTCGTGAGTTCGTTGGCCTTGGAGCTTGTTGAAGAGATAGAAGGAAACCRGTTCTTCTTCAGTAGGGTAGAATCGTGAGTTCGTTGGCCTTGGGGTACCACCATGTACCACAAAATTTTCACTCGTCTCCTCCTTTCCCAATCCATCTTCTCCGGCCACTCTATGATACCCATTACCCAATGTATTACCAATTGGGGCCATGTACCACAGAATTTTCACTCGTCTCCTCCTTTCCCAATCCATCTTCTCCGGCCGATACCCATTACCCAATGTATTACCAATTGGGATACCACCATGTACCACAGAATTTTCACTCGTCTCCTCCTTTCCCAATCCATCTTCTCCGGCCGATACCCATTACCCAATGTATTACCAATTGGGATACCACCATGTACCACAGAATTTTCACTCGTCTCCTCCTTTCCCAATCCATCTTCTCCGGCCACCCTCTGGTTAAACATGAAAATCAACCAGAGCCCCTATGGTTCCTTTATGATGGATTGAAATATTTTTTTTCAAGGTTCAAATAAACAATCAGAAGCAAAGCCATCCAGAAGCCAGACCAACCAGAGGGGCTCTGGCTTACAAGACTAAGTCTAAGTCTTTATTGGTCCCTTGAGGGTCTACAACAATAGTAAAACAGTTTGTAGAAGGGGGGGGGGGGATGAATACAAACACAATATTTTCCAATTTAAAATATATATTGATAAAGAAGATCAATACAAATTTTACAAGATTGTTTGCGGAAATATAAGGTAAGAAAAACCTATCTAAACAATCTCTGGTTACACACGAGTTCTTAGCAATACAAGAAAAGAAATGTTGTAAAGAGAAGATCATTTACTTAAGCTACAAAATGCTTGAAGTAAGAATTAGGTTTTAGAGAGTGAGTTGCGCGCACTTTGCATGGAGAATAAACACTTCTATTTATACCCAGTGCATTAAATGCTCATTTAATGCAATATGGTAGGGTTAGAGTGCGTGTCAAGCCTTAAGAGGAAGGCTTGTCCTTTGCTACAGTGAATAGTATAAAAGCACTATTCATGAGTAGACATCCTTACCTAAAGTTGGTGGACAATAGAGTCGACTAATCAGCTCCATACCGTACCAACTTTCATAAGGGTATGGGTTTTTCCTTTGTGTGTATAAGGACAAGACAACAGTCGTGCTAACCAAACTTCCTTTGATCGTTGAATGCTGGAATGACCTGAAGGTCTCTTCCGTATTCGCTGAGGCTTGAGAAGTCTTCACACATTTGTAGACAGACTTGTAATCACTGAGTACCACTTCAGATCACATACTCGCCAGTCTCTAAACTTCAGTTTCAGTCTTCGACATTTGCTGAAGGTTCTTTGGTGTGAGTGTTGTCTTCTTGAAGTATCGCTGTCTCTGATTGATTTATAATACAAGCGCTTCAGCGATCATTGAACAGACTCAGTGATGATCGCTGGAACTGAAAAGATAGAAACATAAATACAACGTATAAGTGAAAATGGATTATCATCAAATCACTGAGAGAGAGGATCAACAATCTCCTCCTATTTGATGATAACAAGGCAAACATAAATAAAGTTGTCTTATCAAATAATAGTAAGGAAAAGTTACATATAAAGTACATGTCCCTTTTTACTATTTGGGATCTTTTTCAGGTATTCAGTCTCAGCTTAAGAATTTTCCTTAAGTTATATCTAAGAAAATTACAAGTACGAAAACTGAAACTGAAAGCTTATTCACTGACTTATAGATTGTCAGTGAATGTGAAAAGTAACACTGGAACTCATAGACTTGTGTCCCTATTACTTTTTTCAGGGATCTTTTTCAGTGAAGTACATTGAATACTCATTGTATTATCATTGAAAATATTACAAGTATTACAGTACATGTCTAGTGCTTACAGATTATAAGTACAATCACTGAAAGTAGACATAGTACAAGAAGTTACAAGGAAAAGTGGATTGTTGTTACAAAGAGAAACTATTCTAGAACACTTAGATCTATGTAACTAGGTACATCTTCACCAAGGTTTCTTCAACGTAGGAATTCCCTTCGTATCTTCAGATCTACGACTTTTCCACGCATGCTATCATCTATCAAGAGCAAGAGGTAAACCAGATGACCCATTGGATATAGATGTAGCTCTAATATTCTCTGAAATCTGACTTCACCTTCATAGTCAAGGAATATAACTCCTAACTCAGGTTTAAAAGAGTTGGGTGTATAGGGACCCTTATCTGGCAAGTCAAGATTCAGCATAGAAATGTATGTACTTTGGTGACACTTCAGGACTTCATCTAAGGAGAACCTTGTTTCATGTTCGTTCTTTAGGAATGGTCCATCATTAGGATCAGAGAGCTTGAGTTTCTTCTTCCCACCTTTCTTCAGAGATGGCCTGTCAGGGACCTTGACATACCTGGACATCCTTTTGATGAGCTCGCTGATGGTGTCCTCGATAAGTGTCTTGTGTCTTGACTTGGATCGCTGAATAGCTTATCTGATCTCCATCCATTTGTTGTATCCATAATGGCCTAGGTAGGAAGGGTACTCGGTAACGACATCAAGATTGTCCCTAGTGATGAGCATTGAGACTAGCGTTCCACCGTCTTTAGAACGTCCGCTGATGCTGACACTGATAATCGGGGAGGGACTGATTCCCTTTTTCAGCTTTGCTTCGCTCCATCGCTTGTCCTTTTACACCAGCTTCAGGTTCTTCTCATGCTCAGCTTCTGCAATAGAAAGAAGTTTAGCCTTGTCTTGGACAACGTTCACCGTTTTCTTGGACTTTTTCTTGGGAAGGACCTTCGCAACTAGTGACTTGGCCAGCTTCAAGCTGTCTTTAGTCTGCTTCTTTTGAAGCTCTAGCTCTTCTTCAGCCCTCAATGCCTCGAGTTTTTCAGCTTCAGAAAGGAAGTTGAACTCACCACCACTAGAGGTACGAAGAGGAATTTTTACTCTAGTCTGGTCGAGTGACTCCTTTAGCTGAGACATCTGCTGGTCGGTAGAAGCATAGGAGACGGGGTGATTAGGTACCCGCTTCAGTCGATCACAGGTTGTTGATGGAATATGAAGTTGATATTCTGAAGTAATCACTACTTGAGAGGTAGAGTCTTCAAACAAAGGTTGTTGAGGGATATTGAACAATACCTTCAAGTTTCTTTCTTCAGCGACCGCCTTGCCTTTCGACTTGGGGTCCTGGTTCCCTGATGGAGTAGATTCACCTTGCCTTTGCTCCCCCTGAGATGTAGAATCCTTGAGAGCAACTCCCTTGGTGACGGTTGATGGCTTCTGATACTTGATGGTAAAGTCATCTTCATCATCATCGTCGTCGTCGCCATCTAGATCACTTCTGGGGTCTGGAATGGTAGGTTCATCATCATCTTCATCATCATCATCATCACCAGCATCAGTGATGGAAGGGGCATCATCCCTAGGGATGGCATCGACATCCTCAGCTGGAGCAGCTTTGGTGGTCGGGATTACAGGAGTAGCAACCGCTTCAGCTTTAGGAGCCTCAGCTTGAACTGCAACTGAAGCTGATACTAGACCAACAGCCTGAGAAGAAGCAGGAGCAGCATCGGATGATTCACTAGCGTTGGACCTCATCTCCCCCTCTCTGGCTAATACTTGACAGAATTTGCCAGAGAGTTCGTCCAAGCGCTGACGCTGGAGAACTATTATCTCCTCTAGCCTTTGCAAAGCACTGGCTAGAGTTGTCGTTGCCTCATGCGTCTCATGGAGCTGGGCGCGATCACTGGCAGATAAAGAAGGTGGAATCACTAGAGCTGGTTGACGGACAACATCTAGAATCTGTTAAAGAAGATCAGTCTGCTGATCAGCGGTAGCCTGAGCATCGTCAGCCCTGCTGTGAAGAACAACAATGGCATCGGTGTTGGCTTGAACAGCTTCTTGGAGAGTCTGGAGATGACTCTGAACTTCTTGAACGTCCGCCTGGATGGCAAGGAAGCTCGCATCAACGTCACCCTAGCGGGGCATCTTCTGGTGGACTTCATTGATCCTGCAGAGGATGGTATCAACAGCTGGAAGGAGAAGTTTGATGTCTGATGACATATCATAGTCATCATCCATCTCTTCATTTCCTCCATCATCTTTCTCTCCCCCGTCCTCTTCCTCTCCCTAAGCATCAGGCTGATGCATCGAAGAAAGACCTGCAAAATAGGAAGTATGAGCTAAAGGCTCAAGGTTAGTAGAAAAGAACGGGTAGGAAGATGGAATACCTGAGGGGCTATCAGTGACATCAAAAGGATTGTCACTGGCATGAGCAAAGATGTCGTCGAGAGGATGGACATCTGTATGCTGAGGAGCATCGAGAGGAGCAACCTTAGGTTCAATGGTGCGCGTCTCAGTATCAGGAAGGACGGTCGTTGATACATCATCGACATGTGTAAAGACCAAAGAAGGAGGAGAAGATAAAATGGTCGAGAAGAGACATGGGTGTTCAGTGGTGGCGGCGCTGATATTCACACCTTCAGTGATTTGGGTCACTGAGGTGGTTGGGGTAGGTACCACTGATACGACAATGATAGGAGAAATCACTGAAGAGCTAAGAGGGTTAGCAGAAAACGCCTCGGGTATAAGGCTAGTTTCAATAACTGAATCCTTTTGAGAGGCCCCAGCTAGAGATGTGGATGTCCCCTTTTTGGACTTTTTGGCTCTTTGAGGAGAACCAAGAGTTGGTTGAGAGGGTCGTTTTGAAGGGGTTTTGGTGGCTTGGCTAGACGTCAGGGGGGGGGTTACCCTTGTCATGGCCACCTGAGCAGAAGAGGTGATGGACACAATAGAAGTTAGTGTCACATCACTGTCCCTCAGCTTATGATCCAGAATCCTGGATCTAAGCTTGAAAACCTAGAGGTTTCCTTCTTGGTGTAGAGATCTTTAAATTTTTTGGCAAACACCATTGAAAGAAACCTAGTGTATGGCACCTCCTTTTCTCGCTGGCGCTTGTTCAGCTTGAGCACCTGGTCATTGAAAATGACCGCAACATAATTTATATTGCGATGCTGAATCGCAGATGCGCCTATGGTTAAGGCGATCGTAGAGGCCTGGTCTCGACCTCCAGTTTTTCCACCCATGCACTGGATGAAATGAGAAAATAGGTTTTGCCAGACGGCTGACATCCTGTTCTTGTCAATATTCGTCAAGGACTTCAGAGGGGCGTTGGAGTCCTTCTTCATTGGCCACTGATA